CGACTTAATGGACCGAAACATTTCTTAACATTATATTTTACAATAAATTGCAAGTTTTATTAATTTTTTAATATTATTCGCTTTTTCTCCTCCCAACATTAAAATATTTTTTATCCACAACTACAGTTTGTAAAATTATTTTTTTACTAAAACTACGAATAACGTGAAAATTCGCTTGAAAACCAAATCGAAACTAAACATAGATAGTCTCAAAAACTTCAATCTGGCACCATTTGGAATCCTGTATCCCCTTTGGCCCCCTACGGCATTATCCCGGATAATAAATTACGGCCGTTAGAAGGTCGAATCGTAATCTTAAAACAAGTGGAGGTACAAAGAAATCAAAATTTGAAGCGGCTGGAGTTGGAAAGTTAAAACGAAGAGATGACTTGTGATTTTTCTTAAAAATTTTGTTCCAACTCAAATTACACACTTTTATAGTCCACAAGCCCAAACAATCATTACTTCCTTACCAAATTAGCAATAAAACAAAATTACACTACTTACGAAGTTGCTGTCCGACGGCCGTCTACTGACTTCACCACTTTCTTCTTTTTGTTCACTTTCCTCAGGTTGTTGCTCAGTTTGTTCTGCAAATCAAACAATAAAGGACTGCTGTCCTGTTTCCCTAAAAACGCCACCAGCTGCTGTACTCACTTTGGCCAGAAGGAGCACAACGACAACATCGTGGCTTTGCAAAAGTATCAAAACAAGCGCGTTTTCTGCTTATGAATGCTCAGGATTATCACCAAAATTCCCTCCCTTATAATCACTTTTATAAAGGCAGCAAATGATGGTGCGCAGGAAAAAGGCCAAACGACCCAAAAGCGAATCGCACACCTTCCCCCCCTCTTTTCCCTGCCCCTTTTTCCCCCAGTAATCTTTCCCTCCAGATATGACGAGTATAAATTAGTCTGTTACCACAATCATCGTACTAACGAGGTCCAGTTGCGGTAACGGTAAGAAATGTATACAACTTAATGGACCGAAATATTTCTCACCTGTAACAAATATTTCCTCAGACCCCTTTCTCATATTACTACCCTTCTCCTCGTTTTCCTTTTTCTTGATATTTTCTCTTCAACCTTTAATGATTAATAAAAGCATATGAT